TTCATCCTCCCACTACTTTTGCCAGGTAAATGCGATGTGTTAGCTGGGTCGCACATAAGGTGCTAGTTTGTGATTGCTATACCCCCCACCTCCAAAGGCTGTGAGAAGTAAGAATATAACCAGAGCACATGTCATCAGAGAGAAGGAGGGCAAAGAAATAAGGTAATAGAAAAGTGAAAGGGTTGGGAACCTTGCTATAGATAGCTGGAGGCGTTTACACGAGAGGAGTGGGAATGAGGACTGGGGAGACAGGACATGAGGTGTTAGTGTGGGTAGCAGTGCAGGTTTGGTCATGGTTCTGCTTCCCATGCAGATATTTTGCGTGTCTTGATACACACTGATAGCTGCTCAGTGCAGATTATCTCCTTGCAGCATAAAGGAGGGGATGAGAAGTGGCACAGCATAATCACCGAACATCTGGCATTCCACAGTAGATGCTATTTAGCTCCCAGAACTGAGCCAGGACTTTCAGTTTGGTAAATCAGAGGACTTGTAGGCAATGCTGATGAGATAGGTGAGTGCAGCATGGGGTTATGCAAGTGGGTTGTCAATAAATGGAAAAGGATTAGGGAATTAGCTGATACAGAGTTTGAGAGTCTAGGATTTTGCAGCATGCAAGGGTGAATGTGAGCCACTAATGCTAAATTAAAGCAATTTGAATTGTGTCCTCTGGACATAATGGCTGAGATTCCTCAAGTACCGAGCATCCTCCTGTGAAGTGCAGAGTTTCATCAAATCTCTGCTGACTTCATTGGGAACTGAGGGCAACAAACTGCTCTCCGGTTTGAGCCCTTCTTAAGCACCACAGTTTCTTGGACTGTTGCACCTTTGTCAAGGCTTTTGAAGACATAATAATGGATCAGTGAAAACATATGCAGTGAAATTACTTTGTTTCTTTTATTTTTGTTACAGTTTGATTCCTTTTCAGGGGAGAAGTATTATACTTGCTGAGCCTGATTTTGAACTTGCTTATGCTAACACAAATAGGGTAAGAGTGATGCCTGTGGAAGTAATTAATTTGCTTTGTGAGTAAGCAAATGTCATCATTGCCATCCTTATTTTTTATAAAATCTATTTGGCATGAAATAAAGGTTGAGTTCCTTCCATTTTTTTCTTCCTATAGCAATTGAAAAAAATTAAATTGCCTTTGTATTTTAAGCTTATGTTCATAATTGCTTTAGATACTCACTCTCCTTTTTACAGCACAAATTTCAATATAGCCAGGAGCATACACACAAACCTGGAAACCTAATCTTCCTGCATAGTCAAAGATACCTTTATTGGATAGCTCAGAGCACTTATTTTGAGTAGTAGTTAGGTTTCTCACTTCTGCATCCAAATCACTTTCTGAACTTCTTATCTGTAAAAAGGAAGTAAAAGCACTGTCCAATTTCCCTGACAGACAGGTAGTTAAGTACTTAAAAAAATGGTGGTGGTGCAGCTAACAAAACCAAATAGATAATCTTTGCTTTTTCAATTTCTGTTTGTATAACTGGAGTTGAGGTCAAGAATTTTGGTGTATCATTTTATACCTTGTAACTTAGTGACCTTACGGATTTTATGCTTCTACAGGGGGGAAAAAAAAAAAAAATTAAATTTATTCCATTTGTACTGGCACCTAATATGGCCTAATGTGTTAGATACTGTATTAGTATACATCACAACCAATGTTTGCCATAAAGAGTTAATATTCCAATATATGAACCAGGGAAAATCAAGTGAATGCAGGAAACAGATGGAGAATTACAAATTGGTAGCAAGATTAATATGACCTAAATAAAAAAATTTCCTAAATATGTTTTGCTTTTTAAAGTAACTATCTCCATTTTTAAATAACATATTCAATCAGTTGTCACAAATACAGGAATGTTACAATTGAATATCTCAAAATAATGCAAATGTTGTCATTCATTTCAGGAAGAGCAGGATTTTACTTATGTTTTAAGCAAAACACATACAGATGTATTTATGTTCTGTTAAAACTGAATTTTGATTGGAATATAATGTTTTCTGTGACATCTTGGTATAAAATAGATTGTGCATATTGTCTAATTTTTTAATACATGTATATTTTTAAAAGATGTCCTATATGTTAATAGGTGAAATATTCACCCTGGCAGGGATTGTATTTGAAAGGATATTAGTGTTATATTCCTATGCTAAAACAAATTAAGACAGTTGTCAGTTAAAACACACAATGTGCGGTTTCTAAAATAGATATTTAGAAAAGGGTATTTTTATTTATCTCAGAAGCAGACAAACATATAACATACTAATCCAGCAAATCCAAGATTCATGTTCCGAAACACATCGTAATTTGTATGTTGTTTGAAAGCTAAGTACAAAACCATTTCTGGACAAGGTAGGAGTGGATGAGTAAGGAGGAGGAGATCATTCTTTATCTTTCCTCTGACTAGACAGATAATTTTGTCGAACTACCAGAGCTGTTAGTGGTGAACCAAATGAACTTTTGTGATGTCACGTGAGAAAAGTAGTAGTTTCTTATTGAGAAAATCTTTCTTGTTGCATACAGAACATTTCCTTCTTAATTTTGTGGCTGAATTAAACCATTATTTTATTTTACTACACCAATCCTTTAGAGTAATCCTAGCCATATTACAGTAACCTGGATTTTCATATGTTCCATGTGTAGCTATGTTCTTACATGTGCTACAACGCTGCCCTAAAATTAAATATTCTAGTTAGTTCTGCAATCACATGTATGGTTATGAGAGTGTATTTTCATACCTTCTTATGTTCCTAGGTTCTTCTCTTAAACTTACATAAGCGCTTATGCCTAACTTGGTCAGGACTGTGCACATTGGTTATGAAACCAAACAGAATCTGGCAAATCACAGCTGACAAAATCTCCCAAAGAAGCTGTTAATATGTCCTAAATCAGTGGAGACAGATAAATGTTTTCTGTAGTATGTGGCACAAAACCATAATCATGAAAGCTGTGCCATACAATAAAAGATTTGCAGTTTTATTGAGTTTTCTTGGGTGACTCTGTTTTTATACAACTTCGCATTTTTGGAGTGTTAATTAAAAAACAAACAACAAACCAAACCAAACAAACAAGCAAAAAACCCCTTAAATATATATATTTAACAAAAATTTGAACATTCCTTATATTTAGAGATTAGTTAATACATTTTGTATCTAAATCCCAAATACCAAATCAAATCTAAGAATGGTTTCGTTCTTTCTCTGCTAGGAAAACTAAAAAAGGGCACCTCAAAATTGCCAGATAGTTTGAACTACGTTTTAAAATGACTATGAGGTGTCCTGACTTAAAAATGAGTGTGTCTATAAATATTTTGTTAAAGAACATTTCAGTGTGTGTGTGTGTGTATACACAAATATGTATATACACATATTGAGATGTTTGTGTGTTTATAGGATTATTTAGTATATGGGTGGGCTAAATGTTTTTTCAATACCATACTTTCATGTTACCTATAGAATAAGTCAGCATCTAATAATTTTTTATTTATTCCATAGTACATAGATATTCCACATATTCCATAGAAATTTATTCCATATTCTTTTGTTTTTATGTCAGTGAACTTGAAATTCTAAAGAAGTTAATAATTCTATATATGCTGTAAAACAATTCAGTGCAAAATACAATATGGTATGTTACAATTGTTAATGTACATATTGTATAAGTGGAAAATATAAATGTTACTTAACTTTATGCTGGATTTTCAGATTTGATTTTGATGCTATCATAACAACTGGAAATATCTAAAATGATTAAAAATAGAAAAAGCTTATTTATAGGGCATGCATTTCTATTCGTAATTAGCTTGACTTTATAATAAGCTTGACTTTATAATGAGGCAGTAACATGAGAATGTTGCTAATAAAATTTTAGTTGTATTTTATATTGACTTGTTGCTGAGATTTTAGATAGCATTTTGGTGAAAGGATTGACAAATTGAAAAGTGTTACCCCTATATATATGCACCACAAAACCTGGATGAATGGAGATCAGTAGGCTACTAAAAATGTATTTTTGTAAGATAAAACATCATATTAATTCAATATCATGAAACAGATGGTACATTAAAACTTTGAGACACATCTGTAAAATGTATATCAAAAAGAAAAGCTACGAAAAATATGTATAAATACTGAATTTTTATCTTGGGTGTCATTCGTCACTTATAGCAGTAAGTCAATAAGGAATAAATTTATTGACATTAATGAGGTTGTATCAGTTTGAAACCTGTTTAAACAGGAGGAAAGGTAGGATTTATAGGCAAAGACCCTTCATTTGAAGACATTTTGATAAACTTTAAGATGTACAAATGCCATACTTTATTGTTTCAAAATCTTCAGCATTTAGACTCTCTCCTGCTGCACTTCATTTTCATAGGCTGAATAATAACACACTGTAGTGCATAATTAATTTCTGTAGAGTGATGTGGGTGACAGGTTGAACAATGAAGATCATGTCCTGTTCAAGACCAACTATTTTATCTGTCCATGCTATACCATATTTGCTTTAGCCAAGTGGTTTTTTTGAATTATTATTACTATAGATGTTTTAAGGGAAGGCGAAGAATTTCAGACACATTTTGTCTAAGAAGTTGGTTTGCTACGTTAGGCTGGAAAGAGGGGAATCAGATGAAAACACTCACTTTGATACAATGTAAGACAGTCTTTCCATATGAGCATAATACCTGCATTTGCTTAATCTTTTGGTCTGAAATGTACTATGCTGAAAACAGTATATTCTGTGGGAGAATGATAAATATGATTTTCCTGTTATTTTTGCTTTAATTCTTCGTATCGTACATTTGAAACAGATGCAGAGCATTAAAAAGCGTGATGAGCTGTATTTCTTTTTAATATTTTTTTTAACCTTTTCTTTTGAAAACATGGTAACTAACTTGCTTCATTCTTTTCCTTCCTTTTATAGGGTAGCAAAATATTATAGTGTTTATGCACAAAGCAGAAGTATTATTTATATATATTTTTTTTAATTACAGGTAAAGATTATAGTTCCCAACAGCACAGCAGGTCTGATAATAGGGAAGGGAGGTGCTACAGTGAAGGCTATAATGGAGCAGTCAGGGGCTTGGGTGCAGCTTTCCCAGAAACCTGATGGGATCAACTTGCAAGAGAGGGTTGTCACTGTGAGTGGAGAACCTGAACAAAACCGAAAAGCTGTTGAACTTATCATCCAGAAGATACAAGAGGATCCACAGAGTGGCAGCTGTCTCAATATCAGTTATGCCAATGTCACAGGTCCAGTGGCCAATTCCAATCCAACCGGATCTCCTTATGCAAACACTGCTGAAGTGTTACCAACTGCTGCAGCTGCTGCAGGGCTATTAGGACATGCTAACCTTGCTGGAGTGGCAGCCTTTCCAGCAGTTTTATCTGGCTTTACAGGCAATGACCTGGTGGCCATCACCTCTGCACTTAATACGTTAGCCAGCTATGGATATAATCTCAATACATTAGGTTTAGGCCTAAGTCAGGCAGCAGCTACAGGGGCTTTGGCTGCAGCAGCTGCCAGTGCCAACCCAGCAGCAGCAGCAGCCAATTTGTTGGCCACCTATG